AGACATTGTTTTTCACATAAGATCCTTCCCATTTCCTCCACCTCCCGACCAGTTGAATTGTGAAACCCTATGATTAACATCACCCCTTCCCCCCATCCCCGCCTGTACTCACCCCTCTGCTTCCACCTTCCCCCCTTGGATCCTCATACTCATTCTGCAAAAATGGTTTTATACCGTATTTGTCCTTGTGGGACTGAGTTAGTTCACTCAGCATAATTCTCTCCAGTCACTCCCAAGTTAGGTTGTAATTTAGAAGATCATTGTTCCTGCATCCAGCATCCTAATTTACTCTCCCTGCCATATTGCTGCTTCACCAGTAGACCAGATTCTCTGCTCCAGAGCACACAGCTGTGCTCCAGAAGAGTTGTCTTCAGTTTTTACCTATGTTGGGAATTCTTTATTGCTCCAAGCAACTATAATTGGGCTAAACAATTGTTTAGTTTAATAGCTTTGCAGGAGAATTTTGGTTCAGGATTAGACATGATTTCTGGGGCACTAGTTTTGAGGGCCATCCAGTCTCAATGAACCCAGTAAATCTAGTTTCTGAATGAGTTTGAGGTCCTATCCTGTGATCATCCTCTTTTGATCAAGATTCATCAGTTGGATCCTTGACCCAAATTCTCAGTAGCTGGTAGTGGGGCACCATTCCTGATTTTCAGTCTTGTGGGAATGGATATAGTAGTTTATGGAGGCAACTAGACCTGCAGTTCACTTTTTTCTATTTCTAGGTCCTCTCCCTCTTCTGTTCCAGGTAAATAGAGCTCAAACTCCTGTCTTCTTAGCACAGTGGGTGCAGCATTAGGACCGCCATGGTGCCCCCACTCCAAGGATGTCTCTTGACTACCATAAGAGCCCTCTCTTCCCCCCTCCCAGTGGCTGTGGTTGAGCTTTTGCACAGATGGGGCTGGTTATGGCTGAGAGGTCAATGAGTGTGGCTGGCAGGGCCGTCACTTGTGGTTGCACTATGCGGATGAAGGGGAGAGGTGCTGGCTTCATATCCTCCCTCTGTTTGGTGCTCCAAGAGTGGTGAATTCTCTGGAATGTGTTTTAGGATAGATCCAGCAGACGCTAGGCTCATGATGCCAGTCATATCACAAGAGGCTGGACTAGTGTCTCCTTCCCACTTGAAGTCTAGTAGCCCGCAATGGGGATCCTGTAGCCAGGGCTTGCTCATTAGTCTGTTTGTAGTTAATGACACACCCCTTGAAGTTCCTGCTAGCTGGACCCCTGTCCCACAGGCTCTTGCAGCTGTCCTGCTTACAGCTCAAGAGTGACTCTGGCCCCATTCTACAACATGATCAAGTCCTGTACCAGAGCACTTGACTCCTATCTGACCTGATTATATTGGGAATGGGTGGTATGAAGGATGGGGATGCTCCCAGACTCTCTCTCACTCCCAATCACCTACCAGTGCACTGAGTTCAGTGGTCCTTGGAGCCTTGGCCAGCCATGCATGTCTGCCAGGTGTTCTTCCAGGTGAAAGGCTGTTTGGGTTGAAATGTTATCAACAAGGAGGAACTGTGAGTATTCTGTGAAGGTCTGCCACCGGGTGCCTCAGACACCTCTGCATGTACCTCTTGTTCATAATGGTTCCAGGTGATGGGAAGACCAGTCCCGGGAAAGAAGATCTGGTGACATGCTGGACACAGATCTGTAGTTAAACATGTGAAACCTTGGTGAGCATCTGCTCACCAACTGGTGAATATGTTATTTGTTTTGTACATGCAGACGGTAGCTCTGCAATCAAGCTGAGGGTTGGGGTGCTCTTCTTTGCTCTCCCCACAGCAGCCACACTCAAGTGACTTCCCTTTTTCCTCTTGCAGCTGCCCTACCCCAGGTTGCACAGGCTCGGGACATGTTCGAGGAAAGTACTCCAGGCATCGGAGGTGAGATCCTGGGATGAGGCTTGGTGGGTGTGAGCAGTGTTCTGGGGCCCCTGGGGATTTGAGACCCCTACTCTCCTTGTGGTCACAGGGTCAGGCTGGGATGTACCTTGCTAGTTGTGGACAAAGCACAGTGGGAGGGGTTCACAGTCATTTGGAATACATGTTTGGAGCATGTTTTGGAGTGCAAGTTGGGGACACATGTTTGGGGGTGCCTGGTTGCACGCTTAGGGTACATATTGTGAAGTAAATGTTGGGGGAATGTGTTTGGGGTCAATGTTTGGGTGCATGTTTCAAGGTACATGTGGAGGCATATGTTTTGGGTGCATGCTGAATTGTAAATTGGGGAATGGTGCAAGTTTGGACAAATGCACGTTTTTTGTGGTTTTTTCCCCTCGGTCCTCAGTGTGTGTTTGGGCATGTGTTTGGAGTGCATGTTGGGATATGTGTCTTGGACTACTTGTTGGGGTGGGACACATGTTTGGGGGTACAAGTTGGGGCATATATTTGGGGTCCATGTTGTGCTGCGTATTTTTGGAGTACTTGCTGGAGCAGGCCACATGTTTTGGAGTGCCTGCTTAGGAAGCATGCTTGGGGGTGCATATTAGGAGGTAAAAGTTGAAGTGCATGGTTGGGATATGTGAGCTGTGGCAGTTTTATTGTCATTTCTGGGGTCTGGCCTGACTGGACTTTGGGTGCCATTAGTGCAGGATCAGGTTTGGGTCTAGAAGTGGAGGTGGGGAGCCCTGGGGTTGTAGGAGAGGCTCTCCAGGTGCAGTGGTTCCACAACCCAGAGTGCACTGCAATGGTGAGGGGGTGTGTGAGGGTGGCACTCAGATGGGGCAGGGTTAGGGGGTTATGGAGGAACAAGGAAGAGGTGGGGCCTGCTGACAGTGTGGGCCTGAGGCTTAAGTGCAGCAAGAGGCTCAAGTCTGCTCTCACTCCTCAGCCTTCAGAGCTGCCCCCTGGCCAAGAAACGGAGGCTGGGGCCTGCCGAAGCTGAGCACCTGGTGGTCAAGCGGAAGCCTCAGCCCTTGAAGCTGGCTCTGGATGAGGGCTATGGCGTGGACAGTGACAGCAGCGAGGACACCGAGGTGAAGGATGCCTCTGTCTCAGACGAGTCGGAAGGAACTCTGGAGGGGGACGAGGCTAAGCTGTCCGGGCAGGAGGGGACGTCGCACCCTGAGCCAGCTGAAGGTGCTTTGTATTCCCTCCCAGAAGAAAGGGCGCTCAGTGCAGCCGGCCAGCCGCTGTGAGGGGGGAGTGTGGCCACTGAGAGCCTGAGAACAAGGGTTGCTTGTCCAGACATGGGAGCCTTTCTGGGAGAGGGGCTGTCCAGGGTGTATACCCCATGCCTGTGTGTATCTGTGTGCATGTCTATATGTGCCTGTGTGTCTACTTGTATGTGTCTCTGTGTGATGTTCCAAGTGTCTGTATCCATGTATGTGTGTCCATGTATCTCTGTGTATATGTATGTGCCTGTGTATCTGTTTAGATACTTAAATGTGTCTATACGCATATATCTGTGCATGTGTCTGCACATATATCTTTGTATGTGCCCATGTGCGTGTCTGTATGTGTCTGGGTGTGCTTGTCTGTGTATTGATTTACATGTAATGGGGTGTGTACGTATGTTTGTGTGTCTATGCATGTCTATGTGTGTGTGTGTGTGTCTGTCTGTCTGTCTGCCAGCTTGTGGCTCTGTGTTCATAGCTGTGAGTTTATGTGTCTCTCTACATATCTGTGTATGCATCTGCAACTGTCTGTAGGTCGCAGGGTGTGTGTACGTGTAGAGCTGTGTCTCTGCCTGCCTGTTTCTCTGCTTGTCTATCTGTGCATGTATCTCTGTGTTTCTATGTTTCACCTTTTGTGAATCTTTGTGTATTTGTGTACACATGTCTCTGTGTGTGGACATCTACCCGTATGTCTGTGCATGCCTATGTGGTGTTGTCAGTCTGCACAGAGGTGTAGCCCAGTTAGGCCAGTTCTGGGACTGGAGACTGTGTGAAACTTGGTGCTTCTTGACCACAAGAGCGTGAGGCAGGTCAGGGGTGTGCTTGATGCTGAAGGGCTAACAGAGCAGATGCTAAGTGCTTCATGAAATGTAAGGTCTTCTGAAAGTGGGAGCAGGAAGAGTTGGGAGAGGAAGGAGAGAAGCAGAGAAGCATCTTGCATGCATTCCTTTCTGTGAGTTTCTGAGGAGTCTGACTCTGCTGGGCGCATCAGCTCTTGGCAGTGCTGGTTTGAGGATACCCTAATACTGGAGAATGGAAAGTGTCTATAGACAAGCCCCCTTTCCCCTTCCCCAGCTGGATGTCCTTGATGGCTGGCCTGAGGCCCTTATCTAGAGCCATTGACACACATATACAAACATTCAGTGCTTAAATGTAGCCCCTTAAGAAAAATCCTACAATTTTGTGACTTTGGTTTGCATTTTCCTGGGCAGGGATGGATGGGTGGGAGGTGGCTCCACTTTATAAGATGGCAGTGAGACTGACATGAGAAAGCACTAGGAGGAGTGGGAAAGGCCTAAGTGAAAAACACCAGTCAGCTCTCAGCTTTGAAAATTGTGAATCCAGGTAGAGGTTGAGTGTGATGGGCAAGAGGACCTCAGTATTGAGGGCTCCAGGCCCCCAGTCTTTGGAGTCATGCTAAGGGGAGTGGGACTGGAGGTTCTCAAGGGCCCTACTGTCCACAACGATGGTCCTGATCTTGCAGGAAAGAGTCCGACCACCTTGCACTTCAGAGCAAGCCCCGAGGGCAGCCCCACTGTCCCCTCTAAGAGCAGCTACAGCAGCTACCAGGAGATCATCGCCACATCTCTTCTCAACCTGGGCCAGATTGCCAAGGAGACCCTGGCTGCAGAGGACCTGGGGGTCAAGCCAAGTACTGCCATCATGCATCTGGTCCAGGAGGATGCTGGGGAAGGGGCCACAAGTGACGAGTGTGAGAAAGACATTTTCATCCAGCCTGAGGATGCAGAGGAAGTCGTGGAATCCACAGGGGAGCAGCCGAGGGAGTCGGGCCCCACATCCCTGGAGAGTGTGGTCAGTGAGGAGTCCAGCCAGTGTAAAGATGCCCTGGGTCCTGGGGACAAGGAAGGGAATGAGGAGGAGGAGGAAGAGGAGGAGGAGGAGGAGGAGGAAGATGAGGAGGAGGAAGAGGAAGATGAGGAGGAGGAGGAGGAGGAAGAGGAGGATGAGGAGGAGGTGGGGATCCCTGACGTCATCTGCCAGGATGCCTCCAATGCCTCCACCCAGAAGGCCCCTGAACACCTGCGGCCTGAGCCAGAGTACTCAGTTGTTGTGGAGGTGCGTTCTGAGGATGACAGGGATGAAGACGCACACTCTCAAAAGTCTGCTGTCACAGACGAGTCAGAGATGTATGACATGATGACCCGAGGGAACCTGGGCCTCCTGGAGCAAGCTATCGCTCTGAAAGCTGAACAGGTGCGAGTGGCCCGGGGACCAGCGGAGCAGGGCCCAGGCGAGGGACAGGTGGGGAAGCCCCTGGATGCTGTGCGGAAGAGCTACTACAGCAAAGGTAGAGTCCACACCCACCCCCTCCCATCCCTGCAGGAAACTGTTCCTCTCCCACGGGTCTCAGCTGCCCATCACTAGCCTGGCCTTTGGGTGGAAGTGGACTGTGGAATCCCTATACTCCTTCCCATCTTGGCATGTGGGCTGAGGTCAGGAAGGAGCAGATGAAATGACCCAAGGCCTCATGAGGGTACAGCCCACTCTGGAGCCAGGGACAAGGGCACAAGAGACAGAGGTGGGAGACAGAACACACCTGGGCTACTGAGAGAGACATGGATGTGTGCGTGATGGAGACAAGGGGCACTCAGAGTGGCAGGTGGACAGAGACTGGAGGGACAGAGGCTTTGGGAACTTTTGCATAGCTAAGACCAGTTCAGGGATGGTTATTTGAGGGCACACAGATAGGGACAGGATTCCAGCTAAGGTGGACCTAAAGATGTTGAGAAGTGCCAGTTCAGACTGAGCCAGGTGAGGGGCAGGCTTTTTCAGGTGGCAGCTCTGGAGTGTCATTTGGGGCACAAAGAACTCCACAGATAAGGCACATGTCAATGGGATATGGTGCTGATTAGAGACACATATACAAGGTGACAACCCTAGGGTCAGATACAGGCTATGGGAAGGCACTATGGAACACAAAAAGGGGTGTCTTTCTTCCAGGGTTGGACTTTGAGGGCCTAGTGGAATAAATTTGGTCTGTGAGATGGGAGACAGAGATACACGGTGACGCAGGCAGGTGAGCTAGGAGCCCCAGGAGGAGCCGATCAGGGAAGCACAGGAAAAGGTGACGTGTGAGCTCAGCAGCTGATGTAGCTTGTGTCCAGGCTGTCCTCCAAGTGTGGAGGCCTGGCTTGAGTGGGCCTGAGCTGGAGACTCTCAAAGGTTGATAGCCGATGCCATTGACCTCAGGGGTGGATGAGTAAGGAGGGGCTCATGGCTAGGTGAGTCCCAGCTTCTCTTTCCCATGCAGACTGTGGAACAGCTTTTTGAGGGCCCTCTCATTGCCCAGCGTCTAGACCCTCAAGCCCCCCATGTTCTATGTCCTTCTCTTGACAGCCAAGGCAGGAACCACGAACCACCACTCTGGCCACTCTGGCCACTCTGGCCTGGCTCTGGCGGTCCACTCATGGCTTCTTATGCATTTTAGATTCTTCAAGAACTGAGAAGCGAGAGATCAAGTGCCCGACTCCAGGCTGTGATGGCACGGGCCATGTCACTGGCTTGTACCCACACCATCGCAGCCTGTCTGGCTGCCCCCACAAAGACAGGATCCCCCCGGAGAGTGAGTATCTGCCTTGGAGCACAGCTGTCGTGGTTCCCGCCTGGGGAGGGGCCAGTTCTGTGTTCTGCCTTTGGCTCGGCGCTATCCAGATTATCTCCGTCCGCTTGTCCGATGGCTCAGCTCCATCCTGAGTCCTCTGAGGAGCCTAGCCATAGTTCCTGGAGACCTCACAGAAGCAGGACTGTTCTTTGGCATAGATGGTGGAGAAAACAGGCTGCCATCAGTTGAGGAGGCAGAAGGACAGAGCCTGTGCAGCAGCTGGGTGGCCTCTGGAAGGAGCATGAGGGGGATACTGCCCTAATGTTGCTATGAGGTCTTGAGGCTGGACACACAGATATGCCAGCTTTGTGCATGTATGGAACTTGTCCCCAGAGGCAGAGCTGGAAGCACTGTGGCAAGGGTCTGACCAGGCCCCTGTGCGTCCATGCTCCCCTCCTCTCTGCTCCCACAGTCCTGGCCATGCACGAGAATGTGCTGAAGTGCCCCACACCCGGCTGCACAGGACAGGGCCATGTGAACAGCAACCGCAACACTCACAGAAGGTACTTGGCTGGATCCAGAGGGCGGGGTGCAGCATGGCAGTAGTGGCGCATGGCAGGGGTCTTGTGTTCGAGGACTGTGGAGAAGCTGAGGGCTGGCAAAATTTTGTGGCTGGGATGCTTGGAAAACCCCATAGACTGTCTCTTGCCGATTAGGGACAGTGTGAATGGTGCTGGCAGGGACCTTGGGTGTCAGTTTGAGTTAGAGTTTCAGGGATGGAGTGCCCTCTCTGGTGCCTGTCTCCATGTCCAGGGAGGCCAGTCTCAGCCATGCTCAGTATTATGGTGGCCGCTGATGTGATGAGATGCTTCATTTGCACAGACAAGCTCCAGCCTTTGTCCCTGCATGACACTGAAGGGATACTTGAGGGAGAGTCTGTGGTGGCCTCATTTTCTGCATGCCAGACAAGGTTCTTCCTAACAGAAGCAGTTTCTCCCTGAGGGCTTGGGGTGGACTTTTCTGGGAAGTGAGCTCAAGGGGCCACAGCCAGTGAGGAGGGGCAGGAAGAGGAAGGACTGTCCATGCATGTGTTTGGAGGGCAGCCTATCTGAAGCCTTGGTGCCTTGTGTACATTTTTGCTGTGTGTCTTTGACTCTGGATTTTCTGAGACTGAGCAACTATTGCTTTGAGACCCAAGCTCAGAAACATCCTTGGCTGGGGGCCCTGTGTGTCCCCAGTGGGAGGAGTTGCACTGCAAGATGGCAGCACCCCTGTGCCCCCAGGTTCTGTGTCCTGATCCGCTCATTGGTACTGAGGGCTCAGGTGGTCGTCCTTGTCCTTCCTGCAGTTTGTCTGGATGCCCCATCGCGGCTGCTGAGAAGTTAGCCAAATCTCATGAGAAGCAACAGCCGCAGACAGGAGACCCTCCCAAGAGCAGCTCCAACTCTGATCGCATCCTCAGGTGAGAGATACAGCTGCAAAATGGAAGCCTTCTGTCCCTCAGTATTCCCGCTCTGCTGAGCTGGCAGCCACTGGGGCCAGGCTGAACCAGGAATAATTTGTGGATGTTAACTGTGTCCAAGAATGGAACCAAGGCCAGAGGCATAGGACATGTCCAAGTTCCTGTAGCCATCAGAGCATCCAGTCGGAGTCCTGCTCTCCACTGCCTTTTTTGCTGGCTACCCACTGCCCGTCCTCCCTGGGGTGGTCCATCCTGGTTTCTCTGTGGGAGGAGAACTGCTCCTCAAATGAGAATGAGAGGCCGGTCCTAGGCTGAAGGGAGCCAAACCCTGCCTATTGCTTACATGTGGGAATGACCACATGCTTTATGGCCAGGCTGCTGAGAACGATGGTCCACTCTTGCTGGCATGTATCTGGGGACACAATTCAACCACAACACCCACCCTCCTCCATGATCCCTCTCTGGTGTCCTCCTTCCTCCCCCCAGGTTCCTGCCCCTGTCACCCACCTTGTGGCTCTGTCCCTGTCCCCCTGCCCCTGTTTCTTTCATTTGTGTCTGACCAAGCCTGGACCAGTGACCTTGATCCCCTTTTTGCCATCTCTCTTTCTAGCAGGCCGCTCTGGAACCCTTGTCCTTGGACACTTGTCCTAGGACACTTGTCTCCACCTCTCTCACTCCTTTGTGTCACTTACTGTCCAGTGTGTATCTGATACTTCACTACTTTATTATAAATTTCAGTGAAACTGATGAGATGAGGAGGAGGAGGCCAAAGAGAGGGTGTCCAGTGGGCAGTGGGAGTGCTGGGGGACATTCTGGGGAGGGATAAGCTGGGGATGTTACAACAAGGGTGGGGGCATGGGGTGGGGCCCGGTAGGCAGGTGACAGGCTGGGACTGGGGCCTCAAGAGTGGGGTGCAGCAAGTGAGGGACCAGCTGGGGACCAGTCCATTAGAGTGAATCCTGGCAAGTGAGGGACAAATTGATGATGTCATAGTGGGAGCAATGGAGGGTCATGGCCTCTCAAGACTCCTTTGACTTTACTTCAGTTTGTTCACCTATAAAGTGAATGAATGATTCCCAGGCAGAAATTATATATGAGGGTTATGTAGGACAGAGACCTTGGCCTTTATCAAGGACCTGCGTAACCTCAATGGTGTGGCCACAGCACAAGCAGCTCTCCTTAGGCTCCAGTTGACTGTGCTCGGAATACTGGTGGCCTTGGGCTCTCCACTTTGACCCACTGGTCTCTCTTCTTCCCTCCACATCCTCCTGCATGTATGGAACACTTACAATGGATAACTCAGGAGTGAGAAATGGGGCTGGAGCCCTCATGGAGAGGGGTCTCCTTGACAGTCAGAGGTTAAAGATACCAGCTGGAGGAGATCCTCAGAATCCTTCACTTCCCTCCCTACACTCAGGTCATTGATCTACCTGTGCTGAACTGAGCTAGCGTCTATAGGGAAGCAAAACCAATAAAGTGTGTGTATGTGTGTGTGTGTGTGTGTGTAGATAGATAGGTAGGGAAAGAGAAAATAAAATGAGAGGTAGGTAGGTAGGTAGATCTATGGGAAGGGGGGAGAGAGGACAAGTTTGTTTCATGGAGATGGTGGAGGCCCAGGTCTGCCAGCTAGACTTCAGGAGAGAAGGTGGCACAGGAGGAGTCCACAGCTCAGGCTGCTGGCTTCAGAGGCTGACGAGTCTAGAGGCATGTTCTGAGTGACCTTAGAGACCAGGTTCCTGTTGGGCTCTTTCATGGCCTGACAGGAGTTGACAGTGGATATGGGTGAAGGGAGTTTCAGCCTCCTAGTTCCCCTCCTGTGCTCCCAGGGGAGGAGGTGCATGGTTGGGTACTCAACTACTCCTTTATCTCCCTTATTTGAACCTGGTCCACCACATTTTCCCCTGGGCATCTGAAGATGGCCGAGCGTCCCTGGGGGTGGGATTCTGACTAGTGGAGGGTCTCCCCAGCTCCCTATCCTCCTAGGACCTGAGAACATCCAAGGAACTCATCCTGTCTCATTTCTGTGGCTTCTGTCTCTACTTCCAGGCCCATGTGCTTCGTAAAGCAGCTTGAGGTACCCCCATACGGGAGCTATCGGCCCAGCGTGGCCCCCACCACACATAGAGCCAGCCTGGCCAAAGAGCTGGAGAAATTTTCCAAGGTGACCTTCGACTACGCAAGTTTTGACGCTCAGGTTTTTGGCAAACGCATGCTTGCCCCAAAGATTCAGACCAGCGAAACCTCACCCAAAGCCTTTAAATGTAAGTTGGGGTGAATCTTCCTCATTTCTCTTTCTGTATTGCTTCTGAGGGGTTGCTTCTGGAGGAACTGAGGGGTGGAGACATCTCCCAAGTCTTTTCCAGTCTGTCCTTGAGAGCTTTGGGATCTCTCCTGGGTCAGGGTTGCCACTGATGTCAGACTAGCCTCTCTGGAGCCAAGTCCCACAGACCTGCAGGTTCCTCCATGTGCCACTTCGGTGTTATTTGTCTCCTTACTGTTTGTAGGGAACAAAACCCTGTGTGTTTGTGGCCTGTCTGTCTAGAGATAACATTCATGTTGTTGATGGGAACACTCCGTGGGAGCTTCTTGGTGGGTCCCCTGACTGATCCCAGCCTAACTTCTCTCCACAGAGAGCTTGTGCTTCGAGTGGGGTGTCTGCTTCCAGCCCCAAGTTGAGGGTTCAAAGATCTCACAGGATGCATAGCAGCTTGCTGGTAACACACTAGTTGTGATATTAGCAGCAAATCTGCTTAAGTGCACCAACAAGGAGTATCCTTGTAACCCTTCCAGAACAATTCTCTATTTTGTCACTTGTGTCACTAGTTTGTGGCCTGGAGTTTGTCTGGAGCAGGAAGGCACCTGAGTGTACACATGATCAAGACAGGCATCTCCTAACAGAGTCTGCCAACTTCTACTTCCTTGTGAGCACCGTGGCACTGAGTCAGAAGTGATTCATATTATAGCTGATTATCCATTGAGTTTCAGAAGCTGTAGATTGCATGTGGAAAGAGATTTCCCCTGTGCAGGCTACTGTTGGATTCAAACTGTCAGAGAGGTGTGACCTTTGGGTCAGCACAACTTCCTGCAGATCAGGCCACCAGAGCCTGACTTAGGACCTCGTCAAAGTGCTAAAGAACAAGAATGTAAGTTTGAAGACTAAGGAACACCTGACTTCAGGCATAGTATTTTCAATATTTTGTATGCACTTGAAAATTGGACGATGAAAAAAGACCAAAGAATTGATGCCTTTGGGTGGTTAGGGGAGACTATTGGGTCACAAAAAGGAAAAAAAAATCTATCTTGGGAGCAGTGCAACCAGGGTGCTTCTCAGAAGAAAGGATAGTCATTCTGTTTTAGATACTAACATATTATCAGGAGGGATCAGTCTTTAGAAAAAGTAATCATACTTAGAGAAATAGAGAGGGTTGGACGTAGCGACTGCAACAATGAGTTTGAACAGAGAGGAGATGGCGAGGATGATGCAGGATCAGACAAGGTTCCAATTTGTTGTGTTTAGCGTTGCTATGAATCAGAGTTGACTGGGTGCCACTAACCATGACTTGACTGGGTACAAAGGAGACTTGGTGGCTCAATGTCACAATGCCCAACTGCTAACCTTAAGGTTGTTGTGTTTGTGCACCCTTGAGTCATAACTGACCTGTCAGTGGGTTTTCAGAGGCAGTAAATCTTATGGTAGGAGATTGCCTATCATTCTCCTGTGGAGCAGCTGATAGATTCCAATCATGTGCCTTTAAGTTGTCAGTGTGTCGCCTTACCACTAAGCCACCAGAGCTCCTTAAAGGTAAGTGGTTTAAATCTACAGGCAGCTTCTCCTGTAGATCACAGCCAGAAGACTCTGTCATATCTGGGCATATCAATGGCAACCAACAGCATTGCTGGGGACATCAGTGTCAACATGAACATGGTCTATCCCTTTGAGATGCTGCCTCACAATTTTCCTCCTTGGGTGATGCTTAGAGCAGGGTGCCTGACATGGAGTTCTCTGGTCCCTTAATCTGCACTCACATGCAGACTGTTTGAAATGCCAAATCTGCTGGGTCCCTTTGGAGCTGATGTCCTCAGAATGGACTCAGCTAGAATGGACCAAGGAGGTGCTGTCAGTGACCTGTGGGCTGTGTAAGGCCTGCCTACCCACAGCCTTGTAGTGTCTACACTTGCTGCTATCATAGCTCTTGCTGTGAACCATCTGGCCTGTTCTCTTGTGCAGCCATAGCTTTTACACAGGCCTCCTCTCCCAGGCACAGACCTTCTGGCAGCTATATGAAGAGCACCCCATCCTCTTTTGCAGGCTTCGACTACTCACATGACGCAGAAGCTGCCCACATGGCAGCCACAGCCATCTTGAACCTGTCCACTCGCTGCTGGGAGATGCCTGAGAACCTCAGCACAAAACCGCAGGACCTCCCTGGTAAGGTGGGTCTGCCGTGGGCCTGCGCAGCAGAGGGCCTGTGGAACTATAGAGAATCCCATACACTGTTTTCACACAGATCCTTGGGCACTGCCAGGGCTGGACTGGTGACTTCCCCTTCTTCCACTCTGGCTGGGGCCTTTCTGAGATTACTCTGTGTGCTGTTCATAAGGGTGAACAAGTGACTGTGCCCACACTGCTCTCCTGACTGAGTCCGATAGCTATGCATTCACCATGTCTCATGTATCTATCACTCAGTCAGGTGGTCATGCACTGGTGTCATGCCCCTAAGTTGTCCCTGACTGAGTTGGAAGACCATGCATTCACCATGGCCCGATGTGCCCATTGCTTTATCTGGTGGTCATGCAAATACCACGTCCCCTCCTGAGTTTGAGGACTCTATCCACACCATATCCCCAGAATCTGCTACTTCATCTGGGGACCATATATCCTGAGTCCTCACCCCTCCTACTGAGTCTAAGGGTCATGCTGTGTCTCCGCATCCCTGACTGAGTCTGGGGTCCACAAGTGCTGGATTCTCATGGCCCCAACTGAGTCCGAGGACCATGGATGGTGTACCCCCCAAGTCCCTGACTAAGTCTGGGGCTATGCATGTTGTATCCTCGTGTTTTTAACTGAGCCTGAGGCCCATGTGTCCCCCATGCTCCTGATCGAGTCTGTGGTTTGTATACATGCACAGTGGCTCAGTTCTCCAGTTTGATTGCTGAAGACCAATGGGAGTACTAACATCTCCTCTGTGTGACTTTTGGGGAATTGTTTCTCAGGCTACCCTCTTCTTGACTGGCTCCTGCCCAGGGAATGCTGCTGTCAGCTCCTGGGTGTGATGGAGTATGCACTGGGGAGGTGCATGCACTGAGGACCAACATGGTCCCCTCTGACACTGCAGCCCGCGGACATCGAGGTGGATGAAAATGGAACCCTGGACCTGAGCATGCACAAGCATCGCCGGAGGGATGGTCCTCCCCCTGGTGGCAGCAGCTGCAGTAGCAGCCCGAGAGTTAAGTCTCCTGATGTGGTCCCACGCCAGGGCAGTGCCAGCACCACCAGCAGCTCCATGACCTCGCCCCAGTCCAGCCAGGCCTCCCGCCAGGATGACTGGGATGGGCCTCTGGACTACACCAAACCCAGTCGCCAGCGTGAGGAGGAGGCTGAAGAGGTGAGTGTTGCTGAGCCCATGGCCACATTGTCGTTCAGGGCAGATGGGCACAGGAGGCTGCTCTAATCACAGCAGCATTTTGGTCCCCTGCAGAGCCTCTGAGAGAGTCTGGTTCTTGGGGTAGCTGGGATCTGAGGCAGCCTCTTGGCTCCCATTGTTCAGGGACAAGTATACTGACCTATGGCCCCAGACCACTTCTGTGTGAGCCAGTGTTGGAGCCAAGGTGAAGACGAGGCGTTCTCAGATCCCATGAGACCAGCGGACAAAGCTACTTGCAATAACTAGGCAGGCTCTGGACTTCTATGTCTGTGACCCAGGAGGCCAAGTAAGCGTGCCTGCCTCTGGCTGAGGAGGAGAGGCTGCAGCCCTGGCGGTGGGCAGTGAATTGACTGGACTCAGAGGTGCTGCTGGAGGCCTGGGCGGAGACTTTGCTGGGCACAACGGTTTATTCTTGTCACTGTGTCTGTTGCCTGTTGGGGTGCCAGCCCACAGAGGTGGGCCTGAGATAGAGCTGAGGGAGCTTGGTAGCCAAGATCAGAACAAGATACTGTGTGCCCAGAACAGTGGATCATATGGGCCCCACCACACTCCACCTCTGGCATGCTTCTCAATGCTCTCGAGTGGACTCTGGTCCTCAGGCTGACCTTGCCTGGTCTCATGATCTCCCACATTAGAGGGGGACCCACAGCCAGGCCCCCACCTTGGATCGATCCCATGTGGGATAGAGAAGCCTCACAACTGCTGCCCAATGAGATTGCACCTCTTGACTGAGGCTCTAGAGACCCTGTCAGTGGTAGCCTGCATCTGAGTGATGTTTCTACTGCCTGCTGCCAGCAGTGGGATGTTACTCCAAGCTTAAGCCCACTTCTTCCGGCACCCATACTGGGGCAAGCTAATCACGACCTCTCCTGTTTTGCACACTTACACTTCTGCCCACCCCAGGCACTACCTTGTCCACATGGCAGAGGACAGGGGCTTCAAAAGGAGACACAAGCGGAAACCTCTGTTCCCATTGTCCTTCACCCTGCTCAGGGCTAATATGTCCTCACTGAGCATCTTGTCCTCTCCCAGGACTGTGATTGTTGTTTGTGGCTGGCTCCTCAGGGATTTTCACCCCACCTTCTGGTGAGAGTCCTCATTCCTGCCCCAGCCCACTCCATCCCAGGCTGGAAGCACTCCATGACCACTCCACACAAGTCCCACTCCTCCCAGCCCTCACTTACCCTAACCTTCCTCAGACTGAGAGTCCCCTGCCCCCACCCCACCCAAGCCCCTTCCCACCCAGTCCACCCTACCCCACTTCAGGTTGGGAGATGACTTCCATCACCCCACCTCACCTCACCCAAGGCTGGAAACACCCCACCGCCCCCAATCTCACTTGACTCCACCTCATTCCACTTTATCTCATCCTACCCACCTCAGGCTGGGAGCTCCCAGACCCCACGCTATCCACTCTATTCTGTGTTGGGAGCCTTCATTCCGCCCATATCTCATTCAACTCTCACCCTACCTCTCCTCACCTCTGTCTGGGAATCACTTGTCCCCACCTAACCCTCAGCTAGGACTCCCCTCCCACCACCCCATCTCACTTCACACTGGTTTGGGAGCTTCTCACACCTACCTCACTCCCTGTTTACCCTAGGTTGAGAACCCCCCCACACACACATCATCCTACTCCATCTCAGGCTGGCCCCCCACGCCCCTACCCCTACTGTCCTTCTCCACTTCGGGCTGGGAGCCACCACCACCACCTCCTTCAGCCCTCCAGCCTTGATCTGAGGATCGTCCAAGCTCTTCCTCTCTTCTTACTCCTCTCCTCCGGGGCCCCACGTACACCGAGTCCTACTGGGTCCGCTTAGAGAGGCTTCTGAATGGAATCCCTTTTCCATCCCGGCTCAGATCTTCTGCTGGCTCAGTCCAGGCTCATTTTCAAAGATCAACTCATCACCTTCCTGGAAGGATTGAAGAGCCTCCTTCCTCCAGGCCCTCAGGTCACTCCACAGACCCTGCCCTGGGCATCCTTTCTCTCTTCTGTGAGACACCCTTGTCCTGAGAGTTCAGCTCCCACATGTACCTTGACAAGGGAGCTTGTCCAGTCCAGGCTATCTTGGGCATACTTTGTCCTGCTGGAGGACAAGCACTGAGTGTGACAGAAGCCACATCGACTCAGCCCATGCTTCAGAGGCATGCCCTGTCCACCCTCAAACAGTCTTGGAGGCACTAAAGCCACACATGGATGAGGAGAGGCTGGGCCAAGAGGACTCCTGAGGCCAACTGGCTCCCTGATGGCTCGCCAACTAACTGGTCTGTGACCGAGCTTGAGGCTGGCATGAGCACACAGTATAGTTGAGTCAGGTGTCAGGTATGCTGGGGCCTGGGCTGATATCACAGGCTCCGAGGGGTCTTTACCAGTGTGTTGTGCACTTCACCCTCTCGGCCTCCACTGACTTTTGCAGCCCAGCTCCCACTTAGGGAGGAAGACGTGGCCGCAGGCTGAAAGCAGTCACCCCTGAGATGTGACCTCTGGCTGAGTGGAGACTCTGCACCCCAGGGTGTCTTGGACCAAGGGAGCTTGACTTTGCCAGGAAGACAGAGGGCCAAGAGATGCCATGTTCTGTGATCTGAGGGCCCCAGTGGTTGAAATTTCTTCTTGCTGGTTTTTTGCAGTCAGAGCCAGCAGCCCATTCTTTTGCTTCTTCTGAAGCAGATGACCAGGAAGTGTCTGAAGAGAGTTTTGAGGAGCGGAAATATCCAGGGGAAGTCACCCTGACCAACTTTAAGTTGAAATTTCTCTCCAAGGATATAAAGAAGGAGCTGCTCACGTGAGTCTCCCTCCTGGGCTGGCCAGGCTCCTTGAGGACCCCTGTACATGGGCCAGTGATCTTCTGAGAGTACCCCTCTTGAAGCCTAAGACAGGCCACTCTCTAGTGGACTCAACTGGGAGGATGATTGCACTAAGTGTGTGTATGTGCATGCACACCCATATGCAAAGGCATGCTGTAGGTGTGAGAGGCTGTACAGGGATGTGTGAGGGTATGCAAGAACATGTTGCATGTGCCAGGCCTGCAGAGGTGTGCTGTGTGTAAAGATGAGCAGATGTGTGAGCATGTGTACCGATAAAACGTGTGTGAGTCCACGTTGTGCATATATGAGAGCGTGCAAGTATGTCATTGGAGAGGGTGAACAAGGGTGGCTCTCCAGACCCAGCATGGCTCAGGTGACTCAAGGGCTGCCCTCATGCTGTGAGCACTTTGCTGCTTTCACTAGCTGTGCTTTATCAGTTAGGTTCTCATGGATTCTGAGATGACCCAGTCCAGAACACCACCTAGGAAGACTTTCCCAGCCAGATGTGGTCCCTTTCTCCCCTTTGGCCTTGGGATCAGCTTTCGTGCACACACATCTTCCTTTGTGGGGTTCCTCTGGCTCTGCCTAGAACCCACAGCTTGATCTGTTACTGTAGCTCCCATCTCAGGCAGCCCCATAACAAGCCACCCCACCTGCTCCAGGGGCTCAGAGGAGGGGTTCTTGGCTGGCATTGCCCATCAGTGCATATATATGTGCACATGCATGCATACATCACACATGCCAGGAAATGCCCATGTGCACCTATACAAAAGCACAAGTACACATGTGCACACAGATCACCAAATGTCCTCAGACAGGTACATGAAGATCACAAATGTGCACACATATGCATGCCCCACATATATTCACAAGTGTAAATTCCACATACATGCGTATACCCCCACATGTTCACAGGACACCCCTCACTTCCCCAACATGTGCACACATGCGCACCACACACATGTTTAAATACACACTCTATACACATGCATATCACACATGTGCATACACATCCTCAAAGATGTATAACATGCATGTCCCCTCCCACATATGCATACACGCACACTCCACATACATGTACATCTCACCACACATATGCGCAGGGTCCATACCCTGCCTCCTCACACATAGACCCCAACATTCCCTCCACACACATGCACCCCCGCCCATATTGCATAGGACCCACATGCACCTCCCCATATGTGCACATAAGTACACCTTTCACATATTCTCTCTCTCTCTTTCTTTCTATCTCTCTATCTCCCCAAGTATGTACACTCACATCCACACATGTGCACAAACTCCATATGTTAGTGCATGCATGCACATTGCCCCACATATGCTTAGACCTCTACACGCATACCCCTCCACATGCACACCCCACATGCTCATGTCCTACATGCCAACAAATCCCTATATGTGCACATTTTTATGCACATCACACACATACACGCACATCTCCAAATAAGTGCACTAACACTCATATGTGTTCAAGCTCCATATTTGTGCTTACACACATGTATCCCCACATATGCACATACTACACACACATGTGCGTACAGGACCCACACATGCATGTCCCCCTTACATGTGTACTTCCTCATGCTACTCACATATGCATGCATACACACATTCCACACACATGTGCATCCTCTCCCAAAGACACATGAGCTCGCCCAATTTCCCCTTCATGTGCACACATGCACAACCTCCTCACATATGCACACATACGTATTTCACACACATGCACATGCTCCATCATGTCCTACTGACACTTCCACCTCATGTTAAATGTGGGTAGCCCCTTGTATTTCCTCCAGATTAGTTGTTTAGGGGAAAATCTTATCAAAAGAAATGACCTGAGTTCTATAAGGAGAGTGGGTGAGCTAGTTGGGTGGGTGGGTGCCAGCCTGGGCAGCCTGGCATAATGTATTGCTTTTGGTTCTGACTATCTCTCTGTTTGTCTAGTTGTCCTACTCCTGGTTGTGATGGCAGTGGCCACATCACGGGAAACTATGCCTCCCATCGCAGGTATGTGTGTTCAGGTCCAGCTGAACCTGGGTGCAGTGCAGTGGGTCTGCTCCTCTCTCTCCTCTGCATCCCCCTGTGCTTACCCCATCTTCCATCTCTTCTCTTTCAGCCTTTCTGGTTGCCCTCTTGCTGACAAGAGCCTCAGAAACCTCATGGCTGCCCACTCTGCTGACCTCAAGTACGTTTGCGCTCCCTGGCCTCCTGTCTTTTGGGTGGCACTCTTGCTGCCCTCTCTATGAGGCTCCAGCCAAAATCAGCCTCTCCAGGCCTCTCTCTGCCCTACTTGGTGGAAAAAGGAGGAGGGGTCCTGGAGGGGCTGAATCTGTTTGGCAGGGGTCCTGCTCTGCATCCCTGCTCTGCCCCCTCTCTATTCCTTGTTCTGCCCCCTGATTTCCAAACCTCTTCTGCTCCCTCTCCTGTCCCCGTTCTCTGTCCCTTTCTCTATCCCTTGTTCTATCTTCCTACTCTGTCCCCTTCTCTGTTCTTTCTCTGTCCCCTGCCTTGGTCTTTTTTCATGCTCTATCTCTTTCTCTGTCCTCTGCTCTCTTCCTCTACTCTGTTCTCCTTTTTGTTTCTGTGCTCCATTTCCTTCTCTATTCCCCATATCTTCCCCCTCTCTGTTCACTCGTCTGTTCTCCTACTTTGTCCCTTATTCTGTCCCCTGTTCTCTTCCCCTGCTGTGCCCCCTTTCTTTCTGTTTCCTGCTCTGTCCTCTGTTCTCTCACCCTGACCTTTCCCCTGCTGTATGCCAGTAGCACTGTCTCCCCTCAGAGGCTGCCAAGGCTCTTGTGCAGCTGTGTGGTACTGAAATCTTCTGACCTTTTAAGAGAAATGGGACTCATTTGGCAGCCCTAATGGCCAAGCTTTACTGAGAAGCCTACTGGGGTCACATGAGAAGCTCACTTCTTTCCTGTTCCTGGATTAGGGACAGCCCTAATTAGGGACAGCATCTGGACTTGTGAGTCAGCTGGGGCTAGTAGCCACAGCCATGACTCGTGCAGAGCGAACCAGGGGAAGGGATGAGTGGCAGAGGAAGCTGCCACCCCTACTTGCTTGCCATTCCACCCACCATCCGTCTTTGCTACTCTGCCTACTCCTGACATCGCTGACATGATCATCCCCACTGTCTCCATACACCTCCCTTTGTCTCTCTCTACTGGCCCATCCATCCCTGCTGCACTATCTGTCCTGTCCATCCCTCCACCCCTTCATTCTTTCCTGATCCCGTCTGTCTCCCTCCATCTCTACCACTTCTGTTGTCATTGCCATGCTGGTCTATTCCTGCACCCCGGCCATCTCTGCCATCCCATATGTCCCTGCTGCCTCTTTCCATCTCTGCTGCTCTGTTTGTCTGTGCTGCTTACAGGCCTTTCCTTCCAGGGCTATCTGTCCTTGATGCCCATGACTGGCCTTTGTTTGGTCCTTCCTGGCCTTATCTGTCCCTGCTGTTTCCAGCTTCTGTCTTGGTGCCTGGTGCTCAGGCCAGCCTCTGCTCACTCTTGCTGAGCTTGAGCTCCAGCGGGCTGTGTTGACCAGAGGTTTCCTAGGTGTCAGTGGGGCTCAAAGTGGGAACTGTCCTTCCTGGGCTACCAAGAGGCCCACCTCTTCCCCTCAGTCCCTCCCTCTTCAGGCTATACCTGTGTGCTGCCCTGCGCCTCAGAGGGAGACATAATCCCAGCCCCATTTCCCTGGCACTCCTCCTCTGTGTGGACAGGAGTGGGTCATTGACCCTGAGAGGAGATGCTGGGCCACTGAGGGCTCTTAGGATGTGAGCCAGTTTGGAAACAGGACAGAAAACTTGGGGATCTGAGTGTCTGGAGCTCAGCACCCACCAGTGGACAGTGGAGACTGGGGTTGTCTCTTCAGGAGGGAGTCTGGTCTGAGGTTCAAACCCACTTCTTCCCTCTGGCCTAGATTCTGGTTCTTGCCTTTCTGGCCTGTCTTAGAACTACATCAATGTCCTGTGGTCAACTTGTCTAGGGGGGCCACTCTGAGAGAGTGGGTGTGGTGGTCTGGCTGAACAGCTTGGTAGCTTACATGGACACAGCCTCGGGAGGGGCTGGCACCTTTTAGGTGACCAAGTTCCTCCTGGCAGCTGGCCATGCCTTCTGTCAAGACAGCATAGGTCGGAGTCATCTGCCGGGGGTTGTGTTGCCACAGGAGACATGGGCCCTCAACACAGACAACATTCATTCTTGGACAGAGCAGTGACACTCTCTCCAATAAAGTGTGTGAGGAGACCCGTAGAACCACAGTAGAGGCTTGCCTCTGGCTGTCCCACAGGACCAGTCCCCTGTCAGAACCCAGACTGTGGAGTCCTGGGCTGTCCTGAGGGTAGCTGGCTGCTGAGACCAAGTCCAGCTCTCCAGGATGACTGAGAGCGGGACCTGAGCTGCTGAAGTCCAGCACCACAGCCCAGTCCACGGAGCCCCTTGAAGCTTTGCCTCCTGTACCATGGGGACTCTAGCCTCCCATGAGGTCCCAACTTCCTGACAGGCAGATATTTAAGGAGTGGGGGGTCTGTGGAGAAAGTGCAGCATTATGTTGAGGAGGTAGAGCAGAGATGCCAAGTCTGTGGTGTGAATGTCACCAGCTGTGATGGTGGGAGCTGGCCTGAGCCCAGCCAGGCTCCAGGCTTTCACACACATAGGAAAGCAATGTGACTGCTGGCTGCTATGGTCTGGCATGGTGTCTTGGGGCAGGATCTGGGCAGCAGCCCCCAAAAGACTATAGACTTGGATTAGATGAATGCTGGCTCCTATGAGACTCAAGACTCAGGGGCCACAAGAGACATGTGGACCTGGCACCCAAGAAGCCTTCCGGGGCTAGGAGCTGCTCTCTCTGTTGTTGCAAGAGCTGCCCACCATAGGTGAGCTGCAGACAGAAGGCCCTGGTAGACACAGTCACAGCCCTGAGTGGGCTCTGAACACCATGGAGCTCTGTGCTTAGTCACTCTCGATAGGGGGCTTCCTCTAGCAGCATTGATGAGTCCCACCACATTCTCAGTCACATCTGTGTGAGGGATGGGTTCAGCCCTGGTTCTCCATCTGGGTAGCGAGGGGCCCACCTTCTGGGCACAGTGACTAGCCTGGTGGCTCTCCTCCCAATGGCAGCCAGAGATGTAACTAGGGCACTGTCTGTCACTGACCTGAGCAGAAAGACATTGTCCTTGGTACAGTTTCAGGTGATGTGACCCATTGTCCATGATGCTGTTGCTAGTTGTCATGGCTGCAGTCACTGGCAGCATGCAGGTGGTCAGCAGTTCATCTGCAAACAGCCAGTGGTCAATAATGGTCATCTACTCACTTGTAGCCACGGCGAGAAGACGCTGGTCCTTGGAGCAGGCCTGCCCTCCTGGGCTCCTGTGCTAGTAGCCTATAGCTCATATGTCTGTGTGGTGCAGATGATTCCAGAACATTCTGGAATCCGACAGCTGGCTCAGCTGGCCCGGTTTCTGTATGGTGGAGATACACTTGATCTCCATGTCAGATTTCCCTGACAGCAAAGTGCTGGGAACAGTGTGCAGACACCATATCATGGGCATGTCCTTGGTGTGGTGTTGACCTGCACAGGCAAGCAGCAGTGGTTCTTGTCTGTGGCAATTGGTACTGGGAGCAGGATGGAGAGTTTCCTCTTGGAATGTGTGGGCCTCTCCACTGAGTGGTCTCAACTGTGTTTCCTCCCACAGGTGTCCCACTCCTGGCTGTGACGGCTCAGGTCACATCACAGGGAACTACGCCTCACACCGGAGGTGAGCCTCTCAGTCAGGCAGGAGTGGGGAGACCCTTCATTATTGGTGGGGGTACCTTCTGGAGTGATCCCTTTGGTCTGATGAAACCTTCCTGAGTGACCCTCTAGGTCAGGAGAGTCTTCCTGATTGATCCCCTAGGTCAGATGGGACCTTCCTAAGTGACAGGTCAGGGAGATCTTTCTTCAGTGATCCTATAATTGAAGGGAGCCCTTCCCCTGAGCCAGGAGGGCCCATGTTTAGTCATTGTGTCATCGTTTAGTCATTTAGTCATCATTCAAGGAGGACCCCTTATGTGATCCTCTCGGTCAGGGAGGCCTTTCCTGAGTGGACCCGTAGGTGAAGAGGCCCTTTTTTTAGTGACACTGTACTCCAGGGGGCCCTTCCTCAGTGGTTCCCTGGCCCGGGGGACCCTTGCCACATGATTCCCTTGGTCCTGAGGCCCTTCCTTAGATGATGTGATGTCCCATTAAAACTCTCATGTTACTGGTGACCAGCTGTGTATCCCCCTTGACTATGAACCTTGGATGTTCTCAGACTCTGGTTAGGTCTCTCTGCAGTGAGGCAGAGAGGAAAGTAAGAGCTGGGGCACCCTCATAGGGGATTCTGGTAGACACTAATGGGACATAGTGGAGGCTGATGGGCTGAGGTGGCCCCTCTTTGTGCACAGCCTATCAGGCTGCCCTCGGGCCAAGAAGAGCGGCATCAAGATCACACCCACCAAGGACGACAAGGAGGACCCCGAGCTGATGAAGTGAGTGCTGCTAGGGGTTGATGGTTTGACTCTGTACAAGCTCCACTGAGGTTTCCTTCTCATCCACACCACTGGTCACCAAGTCACTCGGTGGCTGTGTTAATTTGGATAGCCAGCTGTCTGTAGTCTCCTCACTGACACACCGTGAGTGTGAGTGAGGCAGAAAGTAGCCCCCAGATATCATAGGCACCACAGTCTGAGCAAGCAGGTCACATTCATGCATCTGTGTATCTCGAGACCCCAGGTGTGACTTCTCATGTGGGGCTTGTACAATTGCATGCTTTTCCCCCTGGCAATATCAGAGGTGCAAACACGGGATGGGGATGTATGAGATGGGGTTCTGATCTTGGGCTTGCAGTGCTGAGATTGAGGGAGTTGTCTTGACAATAGGGCAGAGAGGCATCTGGACAATGCAGGGGAAGGATGGCCACCCCACCCAGGGCTGGGAACCCATGGTTCTCTCCTTTGAACAGGTTCAGGTTCTTGGGAGGCAGGACAGTCACCTGCAGACCAGGAGCGGTTGACAGTCTTATTCACCCTGCCAGGGGATGCAATTTAGCTTTGGGATGACAGCGCCAGGTGTGTGCACATCCCCTGCTCACAGCCTTGCTACCTCCTGGAGCAGCTTCAGGGCTCCCAAGGCTGGAGATTATTTGCTTAGGCTTTTATTTTTATGGTGAAGCCACAATAGGTGTTAAATGACAGTGTAAAAGCTGAGGCTGCTGGCATCTCAGACACTTCACTTTCCACAGGTGTAGGGGGTAGGCTTTTCTTCTTGCCTGAGGATATAGGAATCTGCTTGTAATCATACATGTCACTGTGTGGAGGGCACTAGTGTGGATCCTGCGTTGGACTGCTTTTGGAAAGAGTGGAAGTCAGGATCTGCATTTTCCAAATTAACTTGGAAAAATGGTTTTCCTCATTCTAATGTGTTGCCAGCTTTAATAAAAACTCCCAAATAAACAAGTGCAGTGGGACACCTAGATTTCCATGGGGCGACAGGTGAGACCTTGACTCCTGCAGGCAGCTGCACTGTTGCCTGGCCCCCAGCCCTAAACTGCTCCAGTGTTTAGACTGTTGATGAAGGCCTAGTAGATGGATGTGCTTTCTGGTGCAGTGACTTTGGAGTGGCTGGTGGGAAAGCCCCTTTTCATGGTCTTTAGTGTCTGTGCCAGATTGAGACTAAATCACATGGCAGAAGTCCTTTTGCCACAGCGTTTTGACTGGTCTGAGAACCAGCCTGTCTTGGGGAAGGAGCTGAGTAGAGAGAGCACAGCCCTGAGGCTCCATCTTCCCACGTCTGGGCTGCAGTGTAGGTGAGGTGCTCACAGAGAGTGCTGTAAACCCTTTGATGAGGTGAAGGAATAGATCAGCTGCTTGATGATCAGACTGCTCACTCAAGGGCTGTTAGCTTGGGGGCCAGCTTCCTGCCTTGGAACAACATGGACCCCTAAAGGCCTCTTACGGATCTCTGGCCTAGCCCTTTGCAGAGATGAAGGGGAGATGCCTCCAATTTAGATGAATAATTGAAATGTGCTAGGGCCAGGACCACCAGAAATAAGTAGTAAATGAAGGAGACAGGGTGGAGCTGGATAAGATGGGCAGTGTAATGGAAGGTGGAGCAGATGCCATGGGCAGGACCTCAGATGGGGACAGGAGAGCATTGGAGAAATAAGGCAGGAAAGGGGTGACGAGAGGGGGCAGTGGTCTGGGTGGCAGGTGGATCAGGAAAAAAACTAGAGAGAAGCCCTCATCCCTGGACTAGAAGAGATGGGGTCAGGCAGGCAAGTGTAGGTCCCCCCTTGGAAAGAACTGTGAAGATGCCTGGTGGCTACTTTAAGAGGCTCGCAGTGGGGAACCTGTGTTTGTAGGGGACCCGGACTTGGGCTCTCCTAACCCTGACATTTGAAGTGTTCTCTCCACCCATTTCTGCTCCCTGTCCTATGCTGACCCCTCATGGTGACCACACCTTGCTCCACTCTAGCCATCTGCCCTGGAGCCCTTTGGCCTCAGACCTGCCTGGTGCTGTCTGAAATGAGGGACATGCTGAGTGCGGGCAGGAGAAGATCAAGGGTCTTGCCCGGTTCAGGCACTAATGCCTGTGAGACTCAGACTCGGAATCCTGGTGGCCGCTGGGGTGGGTAAGAGGCAAGTGCTGACTAGAGACTGCTGTTGTGCCACGTGGGAGTGTGAGGTGGTGAGAGTTCACAGGCTGATCTCACAGTTGATGCTGTGCTGGACGTTACATGTAAGTTCTCTGCTGGCCTGTGGTCTGAACTCACCTCTGGTCTCCTGTGCCCTGGGCTCACCTCTGACCTCTTGTGCCCAGGTGCCCAGTTTCTGGTTGTGTGGGGCTTGGCCACATCAGTGGCAAGTATGCCTCTCACAGGAGTGCATCTGGCTGCCCACTGGCTGCCCGCAGGCAGAAAGAGGGGTCCCTCAATGGCTCTGCATTTTCCTGGAAGTCACTGAAGAATGAGGGTCCCACCTGCCCCACGCCAGGCTGTGATGGCTCTGGCCATGCCAACGGGAGCTTCCTTACCCACCGAAGGTAAATCTTCTAAGGGGAGGCCACACCTGGCCAAGGCTGAAGGATGGCACTGCAGAAAGGGACAGAGGAGGGTTCTGGCAATGCCAATAGTTTCTTTTCTTTTTTCTTTCTACATATTAATCAATTTTATTGAGACATAATTTATATGCCAGTAGTTTCTTGAGGGGAAGCTTATCTCAGGTTGGAGGAACCCTAGAAGATTGCTATCAGGTTGTGGAATTACATTTTCATCACCTGTGTCTCAAGTGCCAGCCTCTCTTAAACACACCTAAAGTGTGCCCAACTGGTCAGGTGCTCTAAGGTGTGCTCACCCCATGCAGCTTTACACCTGCTCTATCAGACCTGCATCAGGGCCCAGGTACACCACCATCTCTCCACCTATGAGGGTGCTACCTCAACCCTTTAGCCAGCACTCAGTGATCCCTGCCCTGGGCTCTGAGACAGAGCCTGGGCAAGTGCACCACTCTCATGGGTATGCGCTCAGCAGAGGCAGAGGCAGACAAGAAACATGTAAGCAGGGAGATGTGTGGTGATTGTATACCTGTCCTGATCTAAGACCTCAGGCCTGACCTCACCTGGGAACTCAAACGTGGCCTGACCTCCCTCTCACCTAACAGTTGTCTGACCTGTGAATGCAGACTTGACCTTACCTGTGACCTCCTCACACCTTTCCTGACTTGTAACCTCACTCTTGGCCTGACTCTTTGCTTCTAGCTTGTCTGGCTGTCCCAGGGCAACTTTTGCCGGGAAGAAAGGAAAACTCTCAGGGGATGAGATTCTCAGCACTAAATTCAAGACGAGTGATGGTAGGCTGCCTTCTGTTCATTTAGATGTCTGTGTGTGCCTCGGTAACGCAGAGCAGTTCCTATCCCATGTGGTTACTCCGGGAAGGGCTGGGAGCCATGGAGGAAGCAGACACTTGAGCTGAGGTCTCTGAACCTGAGAAGCCTCCTGAGCAGTGTGTCTGCGACTCTGCTTAGGCCCGCGAGCCAAGGGCAGAGGAAGCATCCTTCCAGCCACAGCCTGTAGTAAAGGCAGGCCGGAGGCTGGTCAGGGAAGCAGCCTCTGTAAGCAGGTCTAGTTTATTAGGGAGACGCAGCCCCACCACTAATTACGTGGTTCAGGAGGCCATTGGCAATTGCAGGCATGTGAGTCTCTGAAAGGGGATTCCTCAGCTTTTGAAATGAGGCCCCATGAGCTCTGGAAAGTGATGGACTCTGTGCTACGGGGTGTGTGTGGGGGGCACTGGATTGTCCTTGAGGGGCAGAAGGCAGATGGGAGTCTCTCTGCAGTGCTGGAGAATGACGAAGAGATCAAGCAACTCAACAAGGAGATCCATGACCTCAGCGAGTCCAACTCAGAGATGGAGGCTGCTATGGTTAAGCTGCAGTCGCAGGTGGGATCCTCAGTGCCCAGCTCCCGGGGACCAATAGTATGGCAGGGTCTAGCACAGCCTCTGGTCCTCAGTCTTCTCTCTTGGGAGGTGGGATCAATGTAGGACTTAGCCAGTGGGAGGGCCACACTTGCCCTTACAGCAGTCAACATCACTGTCCTGATTGCCACACTATCAGGTCAGGGGTCCTCTCAGGGCCAGAGGTCCTGTGAGTGATGAGGCCAAGACTGTGACCTCTGGAACCACATCCATAGCTGCCTCTCTGCAAGCTCACCCCTGCTCTGTCCTCAGCTTCCAGCCCAGATAAAGCGAAGATGGACATGATAGAGCAAAGGGAGTGGTCTGCTGGCTGGCCTTCTTGAGCATCATTAGGGCCCCCGCTGATCTGCTTACCAAGGGGAGTTCAGGGCACACTGCACGGGGCTCTTTTGGGGCAAGTCTAGTGTGCCGGTGTCCCCTTTCCTTCACCACCCGGCACCCTTCAGCCACAGGCAGTAGGATCAACAGCATGGGGGAGGTGTCCCTGGTGCTGTGGGTACCCAGCTCCTCCCGAGATACAGGCTGCGAGGTCGATGGGTTCCAGGGCCACCATGCCACAAGGCTGTCTCTCTGCAGATCTCCTCTATGGAGAAGAACCTCAAGAACATTGAGGCAGAGAACAAGCTTATCGAGGAACAGAACGAGGCACTGTTCCTAGAGCTCTCGGGCCTGAGCCAGGCCCTCATCCGAAGTCTTGCCAACATCCGCCTCCCACACATGGTAGGTAGGCAGCCAGGGCTTGGAGGGGCATCCTCCTGGGGTCCTGTCCACTCAGGTGAGGTGGGGGGGGGGTGGCGTGGGTCCTCTGCTCCGACACCACTTGTTGTATGGAAGCACCTGTTTCCTGTGGGACCCTGGCATGCCCTAGGAGGGTAGTTAACCGGTCATGCTCTTTTGGGCCCAGGAGCCAATCTGTGAACAGAACTTCGACGCGTATGTGAGCACCCTCACCAGTATGTACACCGACCAGGACTGCTATCAGAATCCAGAGAACAAAGCCCTCTTGGAGACCATCAAACAGGCGGTGAGAGGCATCCAGGTCTAGTGTGGAGGCCTGCAGCTAGCCTGCCTAGCCCTGCCCACCTCAGGGGCCTCCTGGGAGACTCAGCCTGGTAGCGGTGGGGTGCAAGCCTGCCTAGGGAACTCTTTGGGCTTGTTCGAAGGGGTGCCTACAGGTCAGTTCTCCCCAAGACTCTAAGCATAGAGGCCCAGGGCCACGGAAGTGTTACAAAGTGATTTATTTTTGTTTTCTGAAGTGGAAAGCTCAATGGAATAGGATCTCAGGGAAGCATTCCTTGTCTGTAGTGGCTGGGAGGGTGCCTGGGGCCTGGGGCATGCTGCTGAAGGCCTGCTCGTGCCAGTGTGTTTTCACAGTTTTGTTTGATTCAGTTTTGTGTTAAGGGTAGAGGAAGCCTATGCCAGGGGGGAATTGGGAATGGCCTCCCAGAGAAACTCTGCCTGCCACCCTCAGCTCGGAGAGCTCGGACTGAGTGCCCTGTGAGGAACAGCAGCAGCAGCAGCACCAGGGTCAAGTGTTGCCGACCTTGGGCTACAGTGACCATCCAGGGTGACGTCTTGATGGGGGACCATAAAGATTTCCCTTTCTTCTAGAGCCGCTTAAGATGGAAAAAAGGGGCAAATTTTAATTATATGTGTTAAGAACATGAGGTTCCTGCATGTAAATAGAGCCCAAATCAATGGTAACTGAAATTCTGAGTTAGTCTTCAAACGTAGAGAAATTGCACTTCTTGGAAGAAATAAGTAGTTAGTTTAATAATTCTGTAAATTGTTTAATTTTGTCAAGATGTAAGTATATTCCCCTCCTGTGTTAATGTTCACTATTTATTTCACATTTTAATTTATTACTGTTATATTATTTTAACCAGACCTTACCCTAGGGCACCGTGGGCAGGAAACCAATGGAATCAGAGCAGAGAAGACCTTGAGAGCTCTGCACCAGGCCACAGACATTTAGTCATAATTTTGATGCAACCAAGTTATTTTTATATATTTTGTTATTTATTCTTTTAATAATGGGATTTTTAAAGAAGTATTTTGTAACTGAGGAAATTTGCTAATTTGGGACTTTCCCCCCTTGGCCCAATGCAGAGAGAGACTTTTTGGTTTTCATTTCTTTTTGGGTTCCTTTTGACTCCAACTGATGGCAGGATGGGGCTCTGCCTCCCTTGTGTGTTTACACGTGGCACAGTGGAGTGTGTGCTGGCGTGTCCTCGTGTGTCCTGTGACAGCTGCGTGGTGTTTCTGTGAAGGAATACTGTCACCTGCAGTACCGGTAGCCTCCTTTTGAGGGCAGGCTACCCACCTGCTCTCTGACAGCTCCCAAACTGTGACCTCCGTCCTCAGGAAATGTGTTAAACCCATAGCACTTCATGATGTATTTGCAGGGTGATTTCCTAATAAAAGTCCACTTCCGATTGTGCCCTTGGTGCTGTGTGTCTGTTGCGGAGAGGTGTCTTGTTCACAGACAGATGGCTGGAGTACGGGTAGGGTGGGCAGGGTTCTTGTCTGTTATTTTGCCCAACAGCTCCTTTCCTCTCCGTTTCTAGCCCTAGCCCCACCACGTGCTATGCAGATCACAGTCCTTCCCATGGATTTACCTGGAATTAAGGAGCAAAGCCTTTCTGCTGGAGTTTTACCAGGGGAACCAGGGGAGCATGGACCTGGAGCATGGTCCTCTTTCCTGATTGTCAGGAGGAGTGAGTGTGGGGCAGAGTGACGCACAGCGACAACAGAACCAGAACTTGGGGGTGTGTGAAACTCTTCTGACTCCCCCTGAGCTCTTGGTCCAACTGTGCCTGAGCGTGCTTGTCCTTGGATGTGTCATATGCAGCACTGGGTCCCCGTTTGTGCTCAAGCTGGTCTGAGTGGACGAGGCTGTGTAATAGCACCTGGTCATTGTCACATCTTGGGTCAGGTTGAGCTCTGACCCCACTGTTCTTGCTGCTGGCCCCAGTGGGATGCAATTACATCTGGCCAGGAGAACTACATTGTTAGACACGCTTCTGCCCAAGGGCCTGGGCAATGGTAGTAGGTGTCTGGAACATCTGGGGGAGAGCATTTTGGCTGCCTAAGGCACCAAGGGTGGGGGCAAGACCTACCTTTCCCCCTGGACAGCAAAGAACAGCCAGAGAAGATGATACAACAGAGAGAAGATGACACAGAGCTGTGGGCCAGATTCCCTGCAGAAGAACAGAGCTAGCTTTGGGAGCTGAGCATGGGGTCAAAGGCACATGGGAAAACATTGAGCGACAACCTTGATCCAGAGGTGAGTCTCTAACTCTAGTCAAGAGCATCCCTGCTAAAACAGCAAAGTGGACTTTCTCCTACAGTTCAGGCTGCTGTTTGTTAAGACTTTTAAAGAAGCCAGAACATTTTTAACTTGCAAAAGTGAAAGCAGCCCAGGGATCCTTGAGCAGTGTGGGGTGGAAGTGGTCCAAGATGTGGATGTTGTAATTCAGAGCTGATCCTCTAACAACATGGTCTGGAACTGTGAAGACTCAAGTGTTGTTAGCCTCTGCCTAAAACGTTGAGCGACCCTGATCATCCCCTACTGAGCAGTATGATTAACAATATCTCAGCTCACTTCTGGGAGCTATGGTTGCTTTTTGGTAAGGAATTACACTGCCAACCCACAGACACACGGTCCAAATCCATCAGCTGCTCCACATAAGAAAGACAAATAATCTCCTCCCATGCGATTTTCTGCCTCTGAAAACCCTCTGGTGGATTGGCTATGAGTTTTTTTCCGACCCAGTGGTATACAACCACAACAACAGCTCTCTAAAATGGCAGTGGGTAGGGGGAACGAAGAATAAGTGGGTCCTGCAGTTCAAGCCATATTGCTAAAGGGTCTGCTTGCCTTGGTAAAAACATGGAGATAGTGAAGTGAGAGGTGGCACCCTACCCCAGAACTGAGAATTGCTAAGAGTCATCTGTCAGTCATGGCTATGAGAGTGGTCATCATTCCAGCCCTCCTTACCCTTTTGTGCAGATTCAGACCTGTCTGGTTCTTGTCTGAAGGTCTTGGACCTATTATGCTATGCTGCTCATAAAAGGAATTCTTCCAGCTTTTTTCTGTTAGGCCTGCAGTGAGTATAGAGTTTCTGCAGATCCTTGTTTTTCTCTGTTGTTAACACCTTGCATTCCTGTGGCACATTTGTTACAAGTGATGATACAATATTGATATATTCTTATTAATGGAAGACTGTTGTTTTTACATTGGGGAGGGGGGGTGTCCCAAGGGTGGTAAATAATTAACAAAATATCTGCATGTGAACATTTCTAATTTATGCAGTTCAAGTCATCCATTGTATTTGTCATGCAGTCACTCATCACCACTATGGTCTGCATTTTTCCTGAGGCCTTCACAGGCACTCCTATCTTCTAAGCAATGTATGCCCCTCCTCCACACTCCCGCCTGCTTCTGCTAACCTCCAGTAACCTTAAATGTGTGTTTATTTGCCTTTTGTAGATACTCCGTATGAGCAGAATCAGCCACTTTTGTGCATCTGATTTGATAGATGCGTAATGCCACATAGCCACCACTGCAATATAGTTTCATAGCTTCCAAAGAGTTCTGGACCTTGCCCATCCCTCTTCCTGAACCTTGCTGCCACGGAACTTTTTAACTCTCTCTGTAGTTTTGCCTTTTGGAGAATGCCTACAAATGGGATTCATACAGTATATAGCCTTTACAATTACCTTCTTTTGCTAACAACATGCATTTAAGGTTCTTTCATGTGTTTTGTTGGATTGCTGCAGTTCACGTACATTCCCTTTTCTTTTAATTGCATGGATGCACTATAATTCACCTATTCAGTGCTATCTTGGTACTTCACTTTTTTGGCAACAATGAGCACTCTCTGTGGACAAATTGCCAATGTATATGTTTTCCTCTCCTTAGGATGAAGGCTTTTGGTAAGACTGTAACTTCCACAGATTTAGAAGAGGCCATGGAAGAAAGGATAGATCATAGCTGAGAACAGAGAATACAAGAAATTGTTTACTTATGTTTTATTGACTATGCAAAAACACTGAACTGTATGAATCATAATAAATTGTGGATAACAATGAGGAGAATAGGAATTCCAGATTACTTGATTGTTCTCATTAATATATGTACATAGGCCAAAAAGCTATTGTCTCAACAGGACAAGGGAGCACGGCATGGTTTAAAACAAGAAAGGTATCTGTTAGAGTTCTATTCTTTCTCCATACATACTGAGAAAATCATTCAAGAAGTTGGACTCTGCAAAGAAGAATGTGGCATCAAACAAATACATAGAGAAAAAAGGTCATAAGTGGCTAATTGGATCTGGAGGGAGGGGAAATGGGGAGATATTGCTAAATAGCTGCAGACATTTTGTTTGTAGTGATGGAAAAGCTTGGAAATGAAGATGATAGTTGCATAATATTTGGAATATGATTAAGATCACTTAAAAATTATAGAAGTTAAAATTTACTTTCTAAGTAATTTTCCACAGTAAAAATAAGTCCTCCGCGGAGAGAAGTTTTGCTTTGTTACAGATAAATAATAGAGAATAAAATATATGCCTGTAATAAATTGAAAAAAAAAAAGAACGTGGCATCAGGATTTGAGGAAGAAGACTCATCTACAACTCGTGTTATGCAAATGACACAATCTTGCTTGTAGAATGTGGCAAAACCCCCAACCAAACCACCAAATTCCAAAACCGTATTTGTTGTTGTTGATTATCAGAAGTCGGAACTGACCATAGTTGACTTTCCAGCAAGTTTTCAGAAGCAGTTGGGATCAGATGGAGAAGACATAGAAGGAGATGAAAGGAGACTGCCCATCCTCCTGCATGGGAGCTGGTGGATGTGAACCGCATGCCTTCAGGATTGCAGTGCAGCTTCTTTACACTAGGCCACCAGAGTTCTTAAAGTATTTAGTGAAAAACATAAAAAAACTACAGCCTTCAGTATGGATTACATCTCAACACCAAGGGGGGCGGGAATCCTCACAACTAGATCAAGAGGCAAACGTCGTGATAGAGAAAATTG